GGAACAGACTGTCTCTAGTGCAAGCATGTGTGTGTGTGTGAGTGTGTGTGACTGCCTAAAGGTTAAAAATAGTCCCAGACCACACCTTTTTTACAGCGTGAGAAGGACGAGTGGGCTTATTTATAATTGATACATGCCTTTGAGGAGATCAGCAGAATTCCATTATTCTGCATGTTATTCTGCAGAGAGCTACTGTATCCATTAAACATGACGCAACCAGGACCAAAACCCTCCGATTTCTTCCAGCGCTGTCGTTTGTGAGCTTCAGACTGAACCACAAGAGTCCAATCTGTGCTGTCTGCTGGAGCACATCGCTCACCTGTTAGAGAGAATTTTAGAGAATCTGTCAGATTAGTGTCTGACTCACGCACTGGAGTTGAATTTGTTCTAAAATATGTGTTGATCCAGCTGAATCATCAGGTAAAGCTTTCTTTTACAGTCTCCTACGTTCTACACCGTTAGAAATAAAGGTTCTGCTCAGGTACATTTTTCCTTCATCAAGGTACAAACAGTGTAAATGTTCCCTTAAAGGTACTACAGTGGTTTTAAGGTCCAGTTATGAACCTTAAATACGTTTTTCCAGGTGAAAAGTTCGTATTTGTACCTTTTCATAACCGAATGTTTTAAAACAGAACAGTAAAATAAAGTCCTGGAGACGAGACGGGGTGTGTGGAGTCAGTACAGCTTAGAACATATCATTTCAGTGGATTATGGTTCAGTTATGTTCCCTGACTAAAGGTACTGAGACGTACCCTTGAGGGTCCCACCCCAGAAACTGTTTTATGCTCAACAGGTTCTAGGTAGTAACGGGGTAAGTGTTTGTGGAACAATCTCCAAAGTGTTGTCCATTTATTTTTGGCAAAATGATAGTAAGTAATAGAGGTGGGAATCTTTAGGCACATCATGATTAGATTCATTTTCAGTTCAGAATGCCAAGATGTAAGTAAAAAATGATTTTATATCATAATTAAGGATATAGGCCTACACCGATCAGCCTCAACAACGAGTTTACATGCACTCAATCCGATAACCGCAGAAAATCAGATTTCGTCAGTAATCCGATCAACACGTTTACATGCATTTGAGTATTCAGATAATGGGAAAACTCCCACGTCTACACGGGTCAGGCAATAATCGGATTTATATTTATGACATACGCTTTTATCCAGAGTGACTTACAATTTGATCATTTTACTCAGACTAAGAACTCTGAAAGAAATCAGAGTAAGAGTCCACATGCACTGAGAAATCTGATTAGTGAGCTAAAATCCAGCCCTCTTTATCTTATTTCTTAATCAGCTTTCTAGACCTTAGTCTGATCTAAGAAACCAGAGTGTGCTGTTTACACTACTGTTTAAATAATCAGATTCCAATTATGATCCGATTATTGAGAGTAGTCACACATACTTACCCAAAAATGCCAGGAACCTGTTGGGCATTTCAGTGTAATTTATTTCAGAAACTTCCTACCACTTTATGCAAGATAGTTATTTATTCCTTTGATGTTTGTACCTCAATTTCCCAGTTAATGGCTAGAACTTAAGGAAAGGTAGAAAGAAAACGATGCCTGTTTTTGCTTAATTGGTGAAACATTTCTATATTCCTTTTTGTATAGTTTATCTAAGAGGAGTCAGAAAAGGAGGAGAGGGAGAGAGAGAGGGGTAGAAAGGTAGGGCTATCACCTTCACCGAAGGACTATTTTAAAGGACGCCATGCCTCGCCATGCTCATCCTGCCAGAGAAGGTTAATAGAAATTCATCTCTCAATCTTCTTAGAGCTATTGGGCGCTCTCCTCTGACAGCAGAATGACCCGCACATTTGAGGGGTCTCAGAGAGAAATGGTCCCAAAAAAAAGAAAAAAAGAAAAAGAAAAAAGAAATCTCCTGCAATATGCATGAAGCCCAATGAATAAGGAATGCTACAGGCACTTATCTAGAGAATAGCAGGAGCTCCTGGCTGGAGAAAAGCCTTGGAGAGGGAGCAGCAGTGGAGAAGCCAAAAACTGTGGAAAGCTAGGGGGCAAGAGCCCTGCACACTGTACTGCTGGTGTTACACACGCGGTCCAACTCAGCAGATAATAGTAGGAGGGGATAATATGATATAAATTCAGTCATGATAGGCTTTTCTGCGTATATTATCATTATGATAAGTACTTTTACAACACTGAACGACTAGAATCATAAAAAATACAGATGTAGACCCATTAACCATTTGGAAAAGTGATCAATCGTCTGTAAGCATTCCTTTTTCCCTCAAGTGAAGGAGAAAACCTCCTCACAACAAACCTGCAGTGAGAACGGCGGTGGCAGTAAATTGGTCAGAATTATTTTGATTGACGTGTTGCTGTGGAAAATGTAATGCCTGACATGCTGTGCTGATCATCTGGAGGGTGAAGCTGTTTTTATTTCGTTCCCGAAGGTGGAAAAGTCTCGTATTAGTCCTAGACAGCAGACAGATGTGGGCCGATTCTGGTTTTACTACGTGGGTGTTGATTGACTACCGGGCAGATGTTAGGAATGTGAGTCAGAAGGGAGTTAGATGCCAGACAGCTTCTTATGGTTTTGCCTCGTGTCTATATTTGTGGGCCAATTCTGGTGTGAATGTTGTAGACCAGCAATGTAGCTGGGCCAGATTTGGGCCACATCCATTAATTCTACTCACTTTACAGTGTGTGGACCAGACAGACTTAGCTAACTGGGGTCTGTGTGGAAGACCACACTCACAGCTCTATGACAAAACTATGACACAGCCAGACTTATGCTAGCTCCATGGTAAGCTAAACTTTATCTGGGAAATTGTGTTTGTAGACCCATTAACCATTTGGAAAATGATTGACGTGCCTCTTAGCCAATCACGATCTCTAAGCATTCCTTTTTCCCTCAAGTGAAGGAGAAAACCTCCTCACAACAAACCTGCAGTGAGAACGGCGGTGGCAGTAAATTGGTCAGAATTATTTAAAGTAAGAAATGGTGGGAAGGTGTTACTGAGGAAAATGTAATGCCTGACATGCTGTGCTGATCATCTGGAGGGTGAAGCTGTTTTTATTTCGTTCCTGAAGGTGGAAAAGTCTCGGATTAGTCCTAGACAGCAGACAAATGTAGGCCGATTCTGGTTTTACTACGTGGGTGTTGATTGACTACCGGGCAGATGTTAGGAATGCGAGTCAGAAGGGAGTTAGATGCCAGACAGCTTCTTATGGTTTTGCCTCGTGTCTATATTTGTGGGCCAATTCTGGTGTGAATGTTGTAGACCAGCAATGTAGTTGGGCCAGATTTGGGCCACATCCATTAATTCTACTCATTTTACAGTGTGTGGACCAGACAGACCATACTCACAGCTCTATGGCAAAACTATGACTTATGCTAGCTCCATGGTAAGCTAAACTTTATCTGGGAAATTGTGTTTGCTTAAAATTTGTGCATTTTTATATGATGTTGAATAATAATGTCAGTTAGCTAACTAGTTCGCTTTTTAAACGTAGCTGCTGCAAGGTTGATAGATTAAACAGGACTGTACAGTGTTCATGTTTGTGAATAAACGTGTAAAGATACTTTTACACATGCTACCCTTTGTTCAGTTGCATTAAAGTTTGCTAAAATACCTTGTGTAAAACAGTCCCCCTCAACACCAACTAGCTCCCCAGCATCTAACGTTACTCAGGCTAGCTCTAGTGTTAGCTTGAGCATTAGCTCGTCTGAAGGGGTAGTTTTTGATATTAAATTCAACATGATAAACCTTCCACTTTAACTGGCTACACATCTCACAAAGACTTTTGTTTTTTGGGATTTTTCCCAGTTTTTTCCCAGATTTGTTCATATCCAACTCCACCCACTAGTTAGGACTCCCCCAGTTACACGATAACACTAGCGCTAGGAGGGCGAAGGCTAACCAGGCTTCCTCTGAGACTTTTTAGTCTGTTAGTACAAGGGTCATGGATGCTGCCAGGCGGCTTGGGCTACAGCAACAGTAACTGAGAAAGGCGGGACTTTGGTAAATTATCAAAGGCCTGTAAACAACGACAACAACAACAGGTGTACACTAACTGCAAAAACTGCATAGTAGCAAGCAGCTGATTGGTTCAGCCCATTATGACATCTTCCGAAATAGTTGTCATTGTTTTTTTCTTCTTGTTCTTCCTTAAATAGTTTATTTTTGGAAGATGTTGAATGAAAGATATTTAAATTTTAAAACCTTTTTTCTTTTTCTACTGTTTTGCTGGTACATTGTTTTTGCTCCAACTTGCTCACAAAGCATGATATGTATTGTATATTATAAAAATGCCTTTGAGTGTCATATTTTTGCTTCATCACCCACCCTTAGACAGTATTTAAGGGGAAACTAAACCTCACCCGGCCTTCTTGAACTGAAGACTGTGAACCATTTAGAAACTGCAGCATTGGCCAGGCCAGTGGTGTTACTGCAAAAACAGAAGCTTTCAAAACATAACAATGGTCCAGGGTCGTGGACATTGCAGTATTGTTGATATAGCGATATACAAATGTTCCCCCATGCCCTCAGTTATGAAACTCAGCAGTTCCCAGTTCGGATGTTAAAGGAGAATAAAGTGTTGTGGTAGAACAGTGCTGAACTAGCATTACAATTCATTACGGTCAGATCTGTGGACTAAATATTCTCTGATGCACATTTTAGGTTTGTGATTCTTGCAGACTCAGTTTCCAAGGGAGGATTTAGAGACGTGTTCTACTTCTCAACTGTGAATGAATGTAGTTATGTAGGCAGGGCAGCTGGTCCTAGATCAGCAGCCTTACTCTGAAAAAGCTGATATGGACCAAAATAAGTCAATGTCAGTTGGGGTATCAATATCAGTTCTAACTGGATCCGCTTTTATGGGATTTAGGTAACATCAGCGACCTTTTGGCGTCCAGTTTTTGAATCTGCACTGTATTACTGTATTATGAGAATATCAGTGGCAAGTGATTCCTATCCTTTGTGCAGTAGTGCGCATGCTGTAATCTGTAATACACTCTGCTCTCTTACAGATTGTCTTCAGGAAGATCAGTGATGTTAAGCGTGAAGAGGAAGAGCGCCTGAGGAGGAAGAACGAAGCTCCGCTCAACCTTCCACCGGACCACCCCGTGAGGCGCCTCTTCCAGCGTTTCCGGCAGCAGAAGGAGGCCCGGCTGGCCGCTGAGCGTCCGAACCCTGATGAGCCGGACCCAGAAAAAGGCCACGTCCACAATGAGCTTGTCGTCGTCCAGGACGCGATCACCATCGCCACCACCAGTGTTGTCACCGTGATGGAGAGTCCCGCCACACCCATCCCCTCAAACCCTGCTCACAGCGTCCCCGCCCCCGGTCCCTCGGACCGGGCCAAGCTGCAGGCGCCCAACGCCCTGGCCGTTGGAAACCGGGCATCCCGGGGATGGGGGCGTTTCCGGGAAAGCTTGGCCAAGCCAGATGGCTGGGGCAACGTGGCCAAAGCCGAATCCATGGAAACGCTCCCTGAACGCGGCTGCAAGTCAGCCGAGCCCGGTGGCCTGAAGAAAACAGACTCATGTGACAGCGGCATCACCAAGAGTGACCTGCGGCTGGATGAGGGCGGAGCACGGACGCCCGGAGACCACAGCCCAGTCCAGCCGGACGGGAGGCCGCCGCCTACTGTCCCGCCCACAATCCCGCCTATTCCCGAACACACACTCCACACAGCGCTGCTGGAGCTCCGGGCTGAGCTCAAGGACGAGCTGTCGGCTCTCGGAGACCGCATGGTCGCCCTGGAGACGCAGGTTGCTGAGGTGCTGCGGTTGCTAAGGGGCGGAAAGACACCTCCCTCTCCCACCCCGCTGTTTCAGATCTCGCGGCCCACATCCCCGGACTCAGACAAGGACGACATCTTCTCCTAAAACAGGGGTTCTCGACTCCAGTCCTCGGGACCCCCCCTGCTCGGGACTTGTGAGAGTTTTCCTTGAACCAGCACACCTCATGAAAGGCTTGATAACTGACTTATTCATGCCCCAAAAACAAATATATTTTGTTGAAATATTAAATAAGCTCTACAGATCATTGGCAAAACTGCTGTTCAACCTGATGAGAAATTTTAGCGCACGTTATAAGTTTTAAATTATGCATGCGGCCTATTGCACGGGTACAAAAGGTCACAATAAGAGGACAGATTTAGTGCAGCTTCATTGTTGTGTAATCAGGCTACACTCAAAATAACAGTCTCAGTCTTCCTTACAGCTGCAGTAGGCACCTGTGACCACCAAATAATCCCCTGACTACTTTGTCCTGTCCCTGTCACAGTGTAGCTCAAGGCAGCATATTGTCGCCCATGGCATTTTTGCTGTAATGTCACTATATATGGCGAGTGCAATAGAGAAAATGTCAGTAAATCCCTTACAGCAACTTCAGCCATGCTACAGTAACTAGTGATGTAGGCTCAACATTAACATAGCTGGCCATCCACATTAACAGAGCATACGCCAGTGATCTTCCTGCTTAAAACCTCGACATGCAACAAAGAACTACACCTGATCTGTCCGGACAGTGTGACCTTTCTCAAGCATACAAAATAAAATTCACGTAAAGCTACTTCACTCGTTTAAAAGGTATAATGCATTCGTTTAGGTATATCAGGTAGGGGTGAGCGATACGGCAAAAATATCACAATACTTAAAGATATTTTCTCAATACACAGAATGCATAACAGTATTTTTCTGAGGTTTCTGAAGTTGGAACAGACATAAAATCCTAAGTAGCGCCACAATTTTTTCCAGTACAATGACTTTTAGTTAGCATTTAACGAACTGTACTGCACTAAATCCGGTTAACCTGACTAACTGTTCTCTCTTTGTAATGCAACATGCAGTTGTTCAGTGTTCTTTAAGTACTGGTGATTATTTTGCCTACTCCTAATATTAGGTACATTGACAAAAATATTGCCCAAACTTGCAAGAGTTGCTATATTATTGTGGGGCCAAACACAATCTCAAAACGAGAATGCACGTCTGGGGACAGCTTGTTAAACTGTTGGTGCTGGGTTGTGGCAAAATGTGACGCTAACAAGGGTACAGCCCCTTTAAAACCAGCCCCTTTAAAACCAGCCCCCAAATCCCTGTAATCCATTCTCTTTTCATTTCTGGAGTAATATCACAAGCAATTTTTACTGCATGTAAAGTTTCACTGCATGTAATGTGCTCCCCGCATATGCGACCCACATCTACATGCTTGATTGGAGTTTTCAGCCATGCTAACTTGCGTTCCATCCATGGGCTAGCGGCAGACTTGCCGTTCGTCTGACCTGCGCACCACAAAGTGTTAGATTGGTTTGGTCAGTCTGTTCCCTCCATAAAACTGTCTATGTTCCCACCCAGATTTCTCATGGCTGTCCCCAGACGTTCTCGTTATGAGATCAGTTCTGTCCCTGCGGGACTATAGTTGCTCTTGAAGAACATATTTGTGGGCGGAGCATGGACAGGTCAGTAACCTGATGAGCTGGCTCAGGTGTGCTGAAGCAGCGTACTCGGTCCCCAGGACTGAAGTTGAGAACCAAAAAACTTGGGGTGGGGGTTGGTTGTGTGGGTGAGATTTTGAGGACACCTCAACAAGCAGAGGCCAATATGTCTGGAGGGACGACAAAACGGATGCAGTTGCTTTGGAGGTCGGGCTGCACAGAAGTGACAGAGGCGCATGGTGCTCGCCGGAGACGGCAGGGCATTCTGCAGAAAACGCACCAACACAGCACGCCTGTATGTGTGTGACGGAGAGTGGGAGAGAGTGAGGGCAGAAAGCGGGAGAGAGAGAGAGAGCGAGAGAAAGAGAGAACATCTCGTCCTGAGGGAGAGGAGCTGAGATGCTGAAGTGATGGCGCGCTTGATGTGGTGAACACACACACAGCTGATGTGAAGCAGCACCCCAGCGATAGCCTCCAGAGACGACTTGACAGAGTGAAAGTTTAGCCTCAGGGGCCTGCTGTGACGGACAGTCGTCATGGCGACACGCGGTCCTGAACTGGCAGGCGGCACCCTCCGGTGTTTGACACTCCAGCAGGGTGTCTCTCTCTCTCACACACACATATAGCACTGTGCAAAAGTCAGAGACCGCGCTTGATTTAGTTCATTTCCAGTTGAACTGGCCATTTACGTACAGATTATTCATTTTTAAGGAAATTTAAGAGATTCTGTATAAAATTAGGGGGTGTTCAGACAGCGCCTTTTCAGACTCCCTCAAAGCTGCTGAAAAGCGCTCCTCTAGCCTGCGCAGCACGTCTAAAAAACGTCTTGTGCGCTGGGCCGATATCATCACAGCTGACCAATTTCGAGGACAGCTTCTCTCTTGTCCCCATCAGTGTAAAAGCTAGTTTTGGCTGTTTTGCATCACCCAGAGCCAGAGACGCGGTGAAGCTGGGGAGGCTGAAATTTCATGTGTCGTGAGTGATGACATCATGCAAAGTAATTTGCCTGTTATAATTGCATTTTTTTTTGCTAATCTAAATCAAAGTGAACGTGGTGAGAACATAATGTGGCGAGAAACAACAATATACACAAATAATTGGCACGTCAAACCACTGACACATCATCTCTGTGCTCCTTCGTTCTTCTTCATGAGCTTCATGCAAATCAAATGAGTGGCAACCAATCAGACTGCTGATCTGTGGCACGGGAACCGATTGCGTCACGCCCACAGTCACACAGTGAGATTTAACACTGGAAGATTAGATGATTTTGTAGGTTTAAAAACCAATATTAGGCTGTTTTGGGGTGCAGAACAGGCCTATAATGCTTCACACATTTTCCCTTCTTGCATCTCAACATGCGTGTTTTAGCAATACGCCTCCAAAGAGGCCAGCAGCTGGCGAACAAAGTGATTGGGCTCGTTAACTAAAATGGTGCTCGGCTACTGCAGGTTTTCAAAACATAAATAAAATATAGCTCTGAACTTTTTCTTATGGTTAGGATTATTTTTCGCAGTCACAGAATGCCCCATAATCCACTTTCATACCATCGTTGTCCAAAGACAACCATGCATCTCCATTTTTGTCCATTTTTCCTTTTCTACATTTCAACACACCAGCTGTCCTTTACGTTACGTCAAAATTAATGATGAACGGACAAACAGAAATGATCAAAAATCACTTGGAACGCTTGGAGTGTTTTTGTATTCTCTTGTAAAGTTACTATTTTGGAGATACTTGTTTTTCTTTGGACAGCGACGATAAGGAGAGAGAAAATCAAAGGAGTTTCCAAAACCGAATGCCATCACTAAATGTGTTTAACTTGGATTTTGAGAAGCAGAAAATGCCAAACCAACTTCTAAGACTGAACTTTGGAGGTGTGGAAAAACATCCCTGCAAAAAAAAGAAAGGAAGCTGTAATAAAGGAAAAGAGTGGACCCAGTAAATAATGACGAATGTAATATTATATTCAGCTGCTGACGCTTCTGTGTGATTTTCTGTTAAAAATGTTTTCTGCTTCTTTCTTCACGCTGAAAAATGAATAACTTCTACTTCTTGGTCGTTTTGTCTGGAAGACAAAATAGATGAAGGGTGGTCTCTGACTTCTGCGCAGTACTGTATAATGATGTCTCTCAGCTCTACACTTTGCCTTCATATTGCTGATTTAGCCCAGTCTGCTAACGCCAACCTGGAGTTTCCACAGAGATTTTTTTTTTTTGTCTTAACTGTACCGAACTGTATCAGACAAAATCACCATCTGCCTGGCAGGTGTTCGGGTCGCCCATCCTCTTTTCAAAGGGGCTGCTTTGATTTTTTTTTGAAGACTTTTCCGTTGAGACGTGCGTTTTTAAAGGAGAAGGCCTGTGAAGCTATAGGCTAGAATTACTGACTATTCCTGAAACATGATCAGTGTCAGCCTGCAGAGTGGCTGAGTCTTCCTAAACTAAGAGATACTACTGCAGAAGCATGGATCTGTCTCTTACACACACACACACACGCACACACACTTTTCTATGTGCATGTCATCACTGTGGCCTTGCTGCTAGCTTTGATGCATAAGCCTCATTTTGCCGGGCTAGAGACCCTCGTTACCCTTCAGTGATACATCCCTCTCACATATGGACGCTCACACACTCACACACCTGCATCTCTGTGGCCTCTCAAACTTTTGATTTAACTTTCCAAGTAGCTTTCACTGCTTTCAGTGGAGGGACTGAAACATCCGTGACGAAGAATTCTGCTGATTTAATGTGGATCCAAAGGGGGCCAAACATGATGTATTGGTACATGGCTTTTAAATGGGAATTCCCACCATTTTTCCAAAATTTGCAACATTTCAGCCAAACTGGGAAGTAAGCCATTCATGGTGGCTTGAGGTGAAATGGTTTATTATAGAACGACTCTGAATCTTTACATGTTAATATGGCTAGTATTTACTATCCAAAACCACCAGTGAACCTACACGTGCCTACTGAGTTTTAATACATGTTGATGATGGTAAAATAGTGGTAAAAAAAGTGTTATTGCATGTTTCCTTCCTCCATGAATGGCTTTAAAATGTACGCTTTATCATAATACAAGGCATCTGAGGCGTCAGACAGTGAATTCATAACCATTTCATGGAATAGCTTTCTGTGAGGTATTACAGTTCAGATGTCTGGTTCCAATCACAGCCTCTGTGAACAATTCTGAATTAGCCATTTCACATCTGATGACAAAGACTGAATGATTGAATTCTGCAGAAATTTTGAAAAATCAGTGGAATTCCCCTTTAAATTTACCCTGACTTTTATAAGATGTACACTGTAGGACCAGTTTCCTGGCAATGAGTTATGCCTAGTCTTGGACTAAAGTGGTGACTCAAGCTTATGTAGTCTAGACTTAGCCCTAAAATTAGTGGGACAGAACAGACAAAATTGTTATTGTTGCTGTATTTTCAAGCCAAATTACAGAACAATTAAAGGTGCA